AGCTCATACCAATAACAAACTCAGTTGGTCTCTAAGGAGCTACTGGAAGGGTTTTTTATTATTATTCTGTGGCCTTCCAGTTGCTTTGGACTATACGTCCCATCATCCACAGCCAGCATCACAAATGATTAGGGACGATGGGAGTTGTAGTCCACAACATCCAGAGGACAGTGTGTTGGCTATCCAAGTGTACCTTTTCCCCCCTAAACTGAATACAAAGATGTAAACATTCACATGAATTGTGAAGTGCCCATTAGAAGAATTGCTGGACAAACTATGTATCCCTGCCCATGTAGGTAAAAGATTTTTCTGATGGCGTTCCCCCCTGCCTCCCCACTCCGTAATAAAGCTAATCCCATATAAAGTAAAATTGGGTAAATTACCTCGGCTAAACCGATATATTACCCATTGCCTTGTCCCTACAACCCCTGGAAAGAAGCTCAATTTCAAAGGTTAATAGTACAAAACAAATATGCCCAGGCAGCTCAAAAGCTTGAATGTAAAATATATTTGCAGGTTTTTCCCCCCCAGTGATGTTTTAAAGACTCTGGCCAAGTTTTAATGGGCTGTCACACATGGGCGGTTATGAAAGACTTACAATGAACCAAGCTGATAAGCTGATTTGATTTGAATTAACTGCATGAGATTGCTGCTTTGAAAAAGCTGGCCTAAAGAGGCAGCAGCAAAAGCAATCTAAGAAGCCACTGGGATGGTTTGCTTCAGATGCAAAGAAGTGTGGAAGGTTTAGGTAGGGTAAGCTAATTGAGAGATGCATTTGTTTGATCCTGACATCTTTTCCCCTGAAGGAACCCAACACAATGGATGTGTAGGCTCTCTATTTATTCTTTCCGCAAAGCGTCCTAATAAGCTGGTGTTTGTGACTTTGTTACTCTAAGATGGTTTTCACCGATAAACATTTTTTAAAAAATAAAAATGTCAGCAGTTAGCATTGGAAAGTGGAAGGTTGCCCTGATGTTGCCCCAGGTGTTCTCCTGCAACTCTCTATATCAGGCATAGGCAACCTAAGGCCCATGGGCCGGAAGCGACCCATGGGGGTTGTTTAACTGGCCCATGGACCCTACCGGCCACTCGGTCGGCTCCCGTGCGCAGAGCAGAGCGGGGACCACCTTCCGCGATGCTGGGCGGCTTCCCATTGGCTGCAGGAAGCTCCTCCAGCCAATGGGAAGCCGCACATGCCTCCTCCACACTGGAAATGGTGTTTATGCATGCATGCGCGCGCACACATGCACACACGTGCACTCTGGCCCACCGTGGCGGCTGCAGGATCGCAAACTGGCCCATGCCCCAAAAACATTGCCACCCCCTGGTCTATATTGATTTACCGTATTTTTCACTCTATAAGACGCAGCAGACAATAAGACGCATCTAGTTTTTGGAAGAGGAAAACAAGAAAAAAAATGTTCTGAATCCCAGAAGCCAGGACAGCCAGCGGGACTGATTTGCAGCAATCCCGTGGGCTGTCCTGGCTTCTTGTTTAGCCGTGTGCAGCCTTTCCTGGCCGGGGAAAAGCCCCCAAGAGCCGCACACATGCTCCATGCGGCTCTTTAAAGGGAGCGCTGAGCAGAGCCTCCCGCCTGCATTCGTTCCATAAGACACACACACATTTGCCCTTACTTTTTAGGAGGGGGAAAGTGCGTCTTATAGAGCGAAAAATACGGTACTTTGCAAATCTTGAAGCCGTGCTTTTTTGCTCATGACTCCAGGAAGCTTCTCAAACACCTCTGCCTCCCTCTCTCTCTCTCTCTCTCTCTCTCTCTCTCTCTCTCTGTGTGTGTGTGTGTGTAAGAGAGTGGGGGGAAACCTCTATCATCCAAAGTAAGGAATACCCAAAATAGTCTTTGAATCTGTGATGTGTCATGTCCATGGAAGCCAAAGCCTTAAAAAAAACCCTGTGCACAGAGCCAATTGGCAGGATAGTGAGAGTTACACTGTCCTCAGCCACAGGGTGCAGAATTGCAGCCATTTCTAGTTAGGCAGCCAAGGGAGAATGCAGACATTCCCACTGATTTAGGACCTAACTGTGCATCGCTGGGGAAATGGGCAATTGCTTAAACTTAAGCAATGCCCATCTTCTTGCAGGCCGTTTTAACTTCGGTCATTTACATTATTTGTCAAGAGCACTTCTGCTGTTCTCTTCTCTAGCATTTTTTAAGAGATGTGGGAGAATTCTGGAGGCGCTCTTCAGCAATAACTAAAATTAAAAGGAATCCAGAAGTAACCTCTTCCAGTGCAAAAATTAGCTGCATTCCACAGCACTGCACTTAAATGTGCTTTCAGATTTGCACAGCGATTCAGAATTAGAATTAATTTCCTAATGCAACACAGGCTAGGTAAACTTCGTAATGAACTTTCCAACAAACCATTTCACGAAGAAGATCACAAGCCAAGGTTGTGCCCTCCAGAAGTTGGATTCCAGTGTCCCACAGCCTCAGCCAGCATGACAAATGTGTGAAGATGATGACAGTTGTAGCTCACACCACCATGTTTATTTTAGTATGTATAACTTCCACCTCTCTCTCTCTCTCTCTCTCTCTCTCTCTCTCTCTCACACACACACACACACTCAGTCTACAAATATCCATAAACTGTAATTAAAACAGTTAATGACTCGCTACGGGAAGGCGGACAATGAGGCCGCATGGCTGGCGCAGCACTAAGTTAAACTGCAAACCACGCCCCCTCCAAGCTGCCCGGTTGGGCGCTTACCTGTGGGCCTGGTGCGCCAGCCAGGTGAGTGGCGGGCAGGGGGCATAACGCCCCCTGCATGAGGCAGACATCGCGTCCTGCCCACAACCCCTCCCCTCTTTGCAAGAGGAGAGGCTTTAAAACACCAGTAAAACTAGGTAGACACTGGTTGGTTTAAAGGAAAAATCTGTGTTGTAAAGGAGTGCGTAAACAACGACAACAAAAGTTTTAAGAAGATTTCTGGAAGAAGGGAGGAGTGGTTCCTGCTGAAGCCATGCTGGTAGGGAGTTCCACAGGGCAAAGGCTAACACACGAAAGGTTCATTCAGTAGTGAAGGTCAATCGAACCTCAGGGGCATGGAAAACCACCCTTTGTATCTCACTGTTCCACAGTTAAGACAAAAGCCTAGGCTGGATCACCTACTAGAAAGTCCCCAGAGTATTCAGGATTCCATCAGGATCCATAAATATCTGAGGGTAGATCACCTTAATAATCCCCCCAACTTTAGGGTAGCTGTTGTTGAGTCCAAACTTCACCACGGAGTGTTGTAGACTGGAAGCAGTTCACACAATCTCAAATTGTTCAAAGACACCTCAACGTAATATACAAGAGAGAGCATGCATTGGAATTATTGGTGAAATGCAACCAATGCTAAGAGAGCCACTTACACTGTGAGTTACAGGGCACCATACAATTATCGATGCATTTTGATTTGCAAACTACAATGAGAACAAGCCACGATCCTGGGCAGAGTTGCAAAAGAAAAATCCATGGACCTATCTCATTGACCTTCTCAGAAAGACTACACAAGTTCATCAAGTTGGCAACTGACATGTACAAAGCAGCCCTCACAACCACACACCACAGATGGAGCTTCCATAAAGCTGACATCACGTCAAGCACAATACTTTTCAAACACAGTGGGGGTAGAAGGCAAGATTATGTAACCAATATCCCTCCCCACTTCAGGGGGACCATTGTGAACTGTGTCACCTGGGGCTGCTCTGGGATGAGGGAATACCAGAAATCAGGAGAGGAATCCAGTGAAAAATTCCTCTCCCCATTTCAGAGTGATTTTCCCTCTCCTACTGCAACCGCAGGTGACACAGCCCACACAATATAATAGGTGCTCTTCCTAAGGCTTATTTTGGGGTGGGGATTTACACCTGACTGTAGGGGGAACGAGGGGAATAAAAATATCCATTGAGTCTTCTGCTCCCATGTCACACTGGACACTACCCAAAGAACACAACTTACGAACTCATCTGTGAGTCATCACATACCAAGTTCAAGCTCACCCAGGGACAGCTGTAGGCAAGATTCCTGCATTGCAGGGGGTTGACCAAGATGACCCTATGGGCCCCTTCCATCCCTACAATTCTAGCCTAAGTCAAATGATATACATGCATATGTGAATCAGCACTAAGGGCGATATGTTGCATCTGCCATGAATGTGATGCAGAAAACACTTCCATGGAGATGTTCTTGGCCAGTGTTGGCCAATGATGTGGAATGGGGTAAGCCACAACAAAAATCTGGTGAGCATTTCAAAAAATGAGGAGGAGGGGTGGAAGATATACATCACAATGTTTCTGACAGCATTCCTGTGGCTTGTATAACATCTGCTCTCACGCTTAGATTCCTCCTGAAGCCAAAACACGTAGCCTTTTCTTTAGCACTGCACTAAAGTTTTGGAAAGTGGTCCCCAAACTCTTTTCATAATGACAGCCATAATTGTCCTTTCACAGATATCAAACTAGGAAGATGAGGTGAGCATTATGTTCTCAGCTCTTTCCCAACTGTTCACTACTTGTTTAGGTACAAATATGTTCAGCAGCTTAGCACAGAGGTGGCAATTATGTTCTCTATCAAGTGTGCTGAGCAAATTGACCAAAGATGATGACAGAAGATAATAGGTTCTACTGAAGAACCATTATAATTAACGAACACTCTACAGACTTTTGGGCTCAACGAATAGCCATTTAGCTATGCTAAGTCTCAAAAGTTAAGGACTAGAATAGAAAACAGTTAATACACCTTCATTACAACTAATACAACTGCTAAATCATAGCCAGTGCCTCAACTTCACAGAACACAGATGCAACAAGACCCATGGTGAGGAAGACAGTATATGGTCGGAGAATGACAACAGTTGACCCACATAAGGACAAGCCACTTCCAATTACACTGGCATAGAGAAAACACTGGTGAAGCCCAATCATTTGTCAGTATGTGATGACAAGTCCTACTATGTTTCACCGACCAACAGGATGCAGGTTGCTATAGTTACTCACCGCAGTGTGTCCAGCACAGTAGGTGTAGCTAGCGTGGGATTGGTAGTGCAAGCTTGTCCTTGGGAAAGTGTATGTGTTCCAAAGAGGTTGGCTGCTGCTCCACTGGGAACTAAAGCCAGGACTCATGGTCACTCGGTATTTACTGTTTTGGTACGTTCTCACTGTGGAATTAGGCTATCGAGAGAGAAAGAAAAAAGCAAATGTAAAATGCAAATAATTGGACTCCACATAAACACACACAATGTTGCATTTGGAAAGCACATAGACATATTTTTTTCTGCAGAAAATGAAAGAATACTGGAAAGTCAATGAAGCTAAGAGTCCAGGAATGCCGTACTGGGGAACAGTTACTCTCCAGAGGACAAGAGACAAGTGGACTTGTAATCGCTTGCAAGTGAAGTTTACCTGTGACCCCACCCCAGAGGGGGCACAGAGATGGCGACGTGCAGCAGAAGGGCAAAATGCCGCAAGTGCTGACATTCACAATCACTTTGCAAACTCTTATCAAATCAGCTTCTGAAAATATGGAGATACTGTACAATCCCTCTAAGGGGGCCACTTATGCATCACCAAACAAAGAAGAAAAAGTAAGGAAACCAATCTGCATAATACTGGCATGTGCTGATTTATTTATCGGGATGAAAATTTAAGAATCAATACTATACTTTAGGTGGAAATAGGTGAAAGTTTAAAAAAAGAAGTGGAAATACAATGCATCTCACCATAGTGGATAAGACTTTGGCCAGGTGATTTGGGTGCCTGCTCAGTCTGCTGTGCAGGTGCTAATTGTTGATAATAATTTCAAGGCTTCTCCTCTCTCTTCTTAGGGTTATTTGCCTTAAATTTAGCTGGGACCCCTCAGGCCTTCCAAGAGATAACTGTAAAGTTGGAAACAGGGTCCTTCTAAATTCCTTGCACTTGCACGCTGTTCTTTCTGACATTCAAGCCATCCTGAATGAAACCACACCTTCTGTTGGCTCTAATTGTGCTTTATAAATTGTAAAATGCAAGGGTGGCACAGCTAGCAAACACAATGCACATCAACTTCTGTCATGCCATCTGATGCGCGCTTATTTCCAGCTGATGAGGAGAGATCCCACCAAAGAGCAGATATTCCCCATGCTACCCTCAGCAACACTTTATGGTATCTGAAGCAGAGGGCTGCTCCCTTTCGGTTCGTGTCAAGGGATTCCTGTGGTGCGATTTCTGCTGATTTAACTTACAACTCTCCAAACGCAAAGCATACAAATGAACATTAAAAGCTACCCTAAACTCTCATTAGTCACAATATATGACAAGGGGTTACTTTGTTCATTCTGAAGAGGTTTTTGGAGAGAAACACTGCCCTCATACTTGAAGAAGATCTTCCCTCCACTCTTCAAATAAGCCTTTTATAGGGCTATGAATCTTGGCATCAAAGGAAAGGTTTCACTTTAATTCCCCAAAGGAATGCAATATAAATTCTCTTTTCTTTGGCCTATCTCATAAATTGATCAGAAAGAAATTTCATCTTTCCCAACGAACAGAGCACTGGGTTCTGGGTGGGGCTGGGATCAGAAAAGACTGGATAGCCATTCTAGTTTGTTTATTTATTTATTTTAGAGAAAAATTTATAGACCGCCCCCTAACATAAAATATCAAGGCAGTGCACAACAAAATATGGAAGTACAATAAAACGTAAACTACCATAAACATGAGACAAAATAAATATGACTACCCCACACTGAGAAAGTTTAAACAACTCAAAAGCCGGTCAGCATATGAAGACGATGTCTGGAAATTAGCAGAGATGTTGCCTGCTGACACTAAAAGACCAACTTCTAGTTGAAGATAAAACACTCCAGGGATGATCTTGATGATCAAGCTAGGACATAAGGGCTCTAGTGGTCCTTGGGGTTTGTATATCTACACTATAACCTTGAACCTGGCATGGTAGCATATGGGCAGCCAGTTCTAACGTTTTAGCAGAAGTGTCACCTGCTCTTAGGTGTCTTTCCCCATCAGGTGTCTAACCACTGCATTCTACAATAACTGGAGTATCAAGACCAGGCCCAAGGGCAGTCTCACATAGAGCACATTGCGGTATTCCAGTCTCAAGGTTCCCAGTGCATGGACTACTGTGGCCAGCCTGTTCTTAGCCAGGCATGTTGTACCAGAGAAAGCTGGGAAAGGCCCATACCCAAATCCTAAAGCTGGAGTGGATGTTTTCTAACCCAAGGTCCCTGAAATCAGTTGCTGGAAGTAGGAACTGTTGACCAGGCAAGGCCAAAAAGCAGCTGTTGACCAGGCAAGGCCAGAAGTGCAGACTCTTCATATTTATATTAAACCTGGCCAATTACAAAGCTTCATACAACCTGCCGATTGAAGTACAATGTGGCATGATCCGATTGCCTTTGGTGTATGAAGAAGGCAGTCAAAGGTGTGTGAAGTCTTAGGTAATTCACCAAGATGTAGGTTGTGAGGTTCCCAGTTCCTGGAGGGTTGAGGGGTTTGTTGGTTTGTGTGTGTGTGTGTAATGTCCTAGGAGACCGTAGCAACACAAAGTTTTACTCTTAAATACCAGTTCCTTGCAAGAGTTTACCCAGTTCAGGTAACATCACCTGCCTTATCAGATGCTATGTTTCTCAACTTGCAAACAGTAATCATCAAGTAATATTGTGATGCTTTTAAACAGGGCACAAGAATGGACAACCAGTGCAACTAAGGCTATGATTCTAGGCATACTTAAAAGTAAAGGTAAAGGGACCCCTGACCGTTAAGTCCAGTCGTGAACGACTCTGGGGTTGCAGTGCTCATCTCGCTTTACTGGCCGAAGGAGCCAGCGTTTGTCCGCAGACGGCTTCCGGGTCATGTGGCCAGCATGACTAAGCCACTTCTGGCGAACCAGAGCAGCGCATGGAAATGCCGTTTACCTTCCCACCGGAGTGGTATCTATTTATCTACTTGCACTTCATGCTTTCGAACTGCTAGGTTGGCAGGAGCAGGGACCAAGCAACGGGAGCTCATCCCATCGCGGGGATTCGAACCGCCGACCTTCTGATCGGCAAGCCCTAGGCTCAGTGGTTTAGACTACATGGGATTAATCCCCATTCATCAGGTGATGCTTCTGAGTAAACAGAGGGTTGTGATGAGTCCAAAATAGGAGGTGGATAGCTTTGACAACTAAAGCCCATTGATTATATCCAACCAAGCTATGAGCTGATCTAGTTTCCTAAGGTCTGATTTGAATAGCAACATTCATTACTCATCTAATGGCAGGTGGTCCTTGCTCACAGCAAATGGACTATGTGACTTGTTTATCACGGAGAAAATCCTGTTGGTTCTCTGTGCCATTGAAGACCCAGCAACCAGTGGTTGTTTTTATTCAATCATGGCATACTGCACTCTTAATTCATTGAAGGACTGTTCCTTCGATACTTAAAAAGCCCCCCTCCCCATATATTTAGAGAACAGCATTCAGCTTCAAAGCTGACAGACACTTAAACTGTCAGAAAAGTGACTGGTCCAGGCATTTCATGCAGCCTTTAGGTCAACACCTGCCCATCATTTCCTTGCACGTTTGCACTTAAATAATATGCATAATTTGGGCAGGAGGTTATATATTTTGAATCCCATATGCACTATATCTGCAGTCAGGTAGTTCAAAATGACATAGAAATGACACTGATCATTAAAAGATTTGGAAAGGACACATGGAATAAATTAATCATTTCTCTTTCTCTCTCTCCCCCCCCCCCTTAGTATTTCCTTGCAGAAGGTACTGAAACCCTTAATTGACTACAGTCCATAATTATTTTTTTCTCCCAGAAAATTTTCAAGTAGCTTCACTCCCTTTTTACAGTTGACATATTAATGAGATAGGTCAAAACTCTCTTCCAAGTTCTACTATTCCATCAGACTTCAGAAGAAGTGTGCAAATGACTTCCAAAGTTGAGTCCATGCTGTCTTAGCTGCTAAGCCTTTAAAATGAACTTCTCAGAAGTATGAGCGGTCTGGGGGAAATGACATAAATTTGAGTCTCTCCAATCCCTGGATTATTATTATTAAAAGCATTCTGCCTTTGGCTACTTCGTCTGTAGTTCTGTAAAAAGGAAGAAGAAGAAACCACAAGAATTGTGCCTGGAGATTCTTATTAGGCACATTTCTCTTCAACCACCAGCATATTCTCTTTTGACTCCCCAGAGGAGTCCTGGATGTGACAAAAAACCCACTGCAGGAATGGATGACATTGTTGTAGGTGCCTCTGGCTGAGATGCAAGATGCCCCAACTTGAAACATGCCCCAGTAGAGATTGCAGGCCTAATCCACAAACAACTGGAATGATAGAATATGACCAACCCCCCAAAGATAATGTATGTTTCCTTGAACAACAAGTTGGAAAAGGGGAGGAGGGGAGAAAATCCTTTACTCCGATTTGCATGTTGAGTAGAGATAAACATCTGCTAACTATAAAAAGTTGAGCAAAATAATAATAATGATTAGATCTATGAAGCCAGTTAGTTCATCTTGCCACACATGAGCTTGCCTTTAATAGATAAGAATGATAATGGATAATAAGGTTTAAGCTGCTGGTTTTAACCTTCAAAGCCCTATACGGCCTAGGACCCTCGTACCTACGGGACCACCTCCTCTGGTATGCCCCACGGAGGACCTTACGGTCTGCAAACAACAACACTTTGAAGATCCCGGGCCCCAGGGAAATTAGACTGGCCTCTACCAGAGCCAGGGCCTTTTCGGCCATGGCCCCGGCCTGGTGGAACACTGTCCCACAAGAGACTAGGGCCCTGTGGATTTGACATCTTTCCGCAGGGCCTGCAAGACAAAGCTGTTCTGCCAGGCCTTTGGCCAGGGGGTAGTCTGACCTATTTTCTTTTGTATAAGAACAAGCATGAAGGAGGCCTGTTCACAGGTCCTTATATGATCAGTGAAAACACTTGGTCCTGGCAAGTATTAACTGCTCTCAATCCTAACTTGATAACTGCCATTTGTCCAAATTTTAATTTGTCTGAATTAATTTTAAGATGTATTTTAATTAATTGATGCCAGTTTTTATGTATACTGTGTTATTTGTATGATGTTAGCCGCTCTAAGCCTGGCTTCGGCTGGGGGAGGGCAGGGTACAAATAAAATTTATTATTATTATTATTATTAATAATAATAATAATAATAATACCGTATTTTTCGCACCATAGGGCGCACCGGACCATAGGGCGCACCTAGTTTTGGGAGGCGGAAAACAAGAAAAAAATATTCTGAACCCCAGAAGCCAGAACAGCAAGAGGGATCTGGCTTCTGGGATACCGTGTGGCTGTTCTGGCTTCTGGGGTAACCGCGCCAAGCCTCTTCAGGGCAGCGGGATGAAGGCTCCCCCTGCCCAAAGAGGCTGCGCAGGGCTAAAGCAGAAGCCAGGACAGACGTGTCGCTGAAGGGGCACTGTGCCTTCTCCCTCTCTGTGCAGCGCCCTTCCTTCACAGGAAAGCTGCTGCGCAGAGAGGGAGAAGGCGCAGCGCCCTTCAGCGAAGCTGGAGAAGGAACAGAAGAAGACCCTTCTCTTCCTCCTCCAGCTTCACATGACAGGCGCGTTGCTCAAGGGGGGCTGCGCCTTCTCTCTCTCTGCGCAGCGCCTCTCCTTCACAGGAGAGGCGCTGTGCAGAGAGGGAGAGGGCGCAGCGCCCCTTCAGCGAAGCTGGAGAAGGAACAGAAGGAGACTCTTCTGTTCCTCCTCAGGCTTCGCTGGACAGGCGCGTCGCTCAAGGGGCGCTATGCCTTCTCTCTCTCTCTGCGCAGCGCCTCTCCTTCACAGAAGAGGTGCTGCACAGAGAGGGAGAAGGCGCAGCGCCCTTCAGCGAAGCTGGAGAAGGAACAGAAGAAGACCCTTCTGTTCCTCCTCGGGCTTCGCTGGACAGGCGCGTCGCTGCCAAGCGGGAGGAGGAACAGAAGGAGACCCTTCTGTTCCTCCTCCGGCTTCGCTTGATAGGCGCGTTGCTCAAGGGGCGCTGCACCTTCTCTCTCTCTCTGTGCAGCGCCTCTCCTTCACAGGAGAGGCGCTGCGCAGAGAGGGAGAAGGCGCAGCGCCCTTCAGCGAAGCTGGAGAAGGAACAGAAGGAGGCCCTTCTGTTCCTCCTCCGGCTTCCAGGACAGGTGCGTCGCCGCAAAGCCAAGGAGACAGCATTCACTCCATAGGACACACACACATTTCCCCTTCATTTTTGGAGGGGAAAAAGTGCGTCCTATAGAGCGAAAAATACGGTAACTCTTAACAAACGACAGCTCCTAGGATTCTTTGGGTCCATTCTTTGGGTCCAATTACTGTTTAATGCAGTATCATACCACTTTAAATGTCTGTGGTTCTATGATGCACATGTACAAGCTAAGTATGCATCTATTCCTACCCATCCCCTCTTCCCCCCCAAACTGTATCTTAAAATTATCAGGGGTTCAAAAAAGTCCCTTCACTGCTAATGCTGTTTGAACGTCAAGAGTCCCCCAAACCTCACATGGGGAGAAAAGGGTCGAACAACAGGGTGACATATTTGAAAAGGACAGCGGGGTTATCCCTGTTATTCAGCGCTGATAAGCAGAAAGATTGCAGAGTGAAATATTTTGAGCTTTTGCCAGGTATATCCTGGGAAGGGAATTTGGAAATAAAGTTTTCAATTACAGACAGCACTACCAAGCCTTTGGCGAAACAACTGTGACACAAGCAATTAGGGAATCCAATATAACAGACAGTCTTAATGGTTGAGATAAGCTAGCTAAAAATATTTCCTTGAATGCTCACTTGAGTGCTGTTTCCGTAGTATTCACTCGAAGCTTCTTTTATCTTGAGAGGTTGCAGCGCGCACACAGGCAGGTAACTAGCGCAATATGCTGTATGGCTAACTTCCACAGGAGATACCCGAACAGCACGATCCTATGCATGTCTACCAAAGTCTCACTGAATTCAGCACAGCTAATTTACAGATAAGTAGGTTAAAAATTGAATCCTAAGACTGTCATCACAAACTGGGTGAGAGCAAAAATGAAATGCAGGTTCATATTTATTAAGTTTTTTCGGGGTTAGATTTCTATAGCACCCTCCATCAAAAAGATTCCAGGTCTGTTTACAATTTTTAAAAAATAGACAGTAGGAACTATAACAATGGATAAATGCAAAACCATCTTGCATCCCTCTCCTCTATCTTTATTTTTCCCCACAAGGATAACTCCTAGGAAGAAGGAGGAGGAGGAGGAGGAGTTTGGATTTGATATCCCACTTTATCACTACCCGAAGGAGTCTCAAAGCGGCTAACATTCTCCTTTCCCTTCCTCCCCCACAACAAACACTCTGTGAGGTGAGTGGGGCAGAGAGACTTCAGAGAAGTATGACTAGCCCAAGGTCACCTAGCAGCTGCATGTGGAGGAGCGGGGACACGAACCCAGTTCACCAGATTACGAGTCTACCGCTCTTAACCACTACACCACACTGGCTCTCAGATGGTGAGGTGGAGGAAAGAGAATTTCCCTGGCCCTTTTGCTATAGAGCAGGGATGGCTACACTGTGGCCCTCGAGATGTTGCTGGACTGCATCTTCCATCGTGCCTGAGCATTGACTATGGTGGCTAGGGCTGATGGGAGTTGGAGTCCAAGAACATCTGGATGGCCACAGATTAACCACCAATGCTGTACAGGAATCATGGGCTGTATGAGTCCCACCAAAGTGACCTCTCTGGGGCGCAAGCCTGGACAATGTGGATGGAGGTCCTGGACTGCCCAGACAGGGCTCCCTCTTGGCCTTGCTGATGTGATCCAAAAGAAAGCGGAGCAATACGTTTGACACCAGCTTGGCTGCAGGAGCTCCTGGAAGGAGGCATACAAGGTGTCTCATCCAACCATCTCAGGGTCTCCACTCTGGCTTTATGCAGGGTTTAATCCTCAGACTTTTCTTCTCCCGAAGATGTCCCACAAGGCAGTGAGTAAGGATTATTCCTTGGGTTATGCTCCCAAAGCTGTTTTCATGAACGAGTATAGCCACATGGCTGAGAAGGTTAAGGATCAGAGTTTTCCTTCTCCTGGATAGGCTACCTTCCCAGAGCCCCATCTGCCCCCCATTTCCCCTTCCAGCATTTAACTTCACCCTCAAAGGTGCGTTCGTCTCGTGAGACAGACAGATGCCAACAAGTCCCATAATTCCACAGCAAAATAGAACAGGTATAGTAACATTCCCAGCTCTAGAGAAGCCCCAGAGGGCTTCCTAAAGCCCAAGGCTGAAAAATATGACATTGGATGTTGTCCTCTGTGTCGGAAAAAAATCTGTCGATCTTTAATGCAGATTTATGAAGCTTACAAAGATGCAAAAAAGAGAGAGAAAAGGGGGGAAGAAATGGGATTGTTAGACTTGTTTGAAGTACACATTAAAAAGAAAGGACATCTGCTAAGATTGGTGTTCCCAACACATTTCAATGGTGCCTTTATCAAGGGAATTATGCATATGATTCCTTCATAACTCTGCACAATAAAGTTCCATACTCCCTTTTACTTTTTTGCTTCCTTGTGTTTTTGAAGTACCTAGAATCACAGAGGCATGCCAATTTTTTAAGTACCTAGAATCAGACAAATAAACCATGACATTTTGGTGCCTGAGGCAGATAATCAAGATGCCTTTCCATGATGGTAAAAATAAAATAACAAACTAAATCATTCACAATTTATTGCCATTTCATGGTACCCAAAACCTGCTGCCTGGGGTAGATTGGCTAATGATAGGGAGCCCTGTCAAATATAGCAACAGCCATCTATAATGTATGTTTATTATAGTACTATTAAAATCCAGGCTTCTTCAGATAATGGAGGCATACAATTTGGACAAGAAAATTGGCTTCCAGGTGGAAAAATCAAAACTAGAAACAGAACTGTTAGAACCCAAAACTAAGATTTTGTCAAAGATGTATAACTTGCTGTTGAAATGGAATACTCAGGATGAAACGGTGAAATCTGCTATGATTAAATGGGCACAAGATGTTGGACATAACATAATGATGGCTGACTGGGAACAGTTATGGACCACAGGTATGAAGTTTACGGCATGTAATGCCTTAAGAGAGAATATTATGAAAATGATTTACAGGTGGTACATGACACCAGTCAAGCTGGCAAAAATCTATCACTTGCCCGATAATAAATGTTGGAAATGTAAAGAAACTGAAGGTACATTCTTTCACCTTTGGTGGACATGCCCAAGGATTAAGGCTTTCTGGGAGATGATCTATAACGAAATGAAAAAGGTATATAAATATACCTTCTTGAAGAAACCAGAGGCCTTTCTTAAAGATAACTATGAAAAATGTTGGATAGAAGTGAAGAAGGATTTGGAGATATGGTCAAAGTTGAAATTATCATTGCTGGGCCGAATTGCTGTGATAAAGATGAATGTATTGCCTAGGATGTTGTTTTTGTTTCAAACATTGCAGATTTTGGACAAGATGGACTGTTTCAAGAAATGGCAGAGAGATATTTCGAGATTTGTCTGGCAGGGCAAGAAGCCAAGAATAAAATTTAAGATTTTAACTGATGCTAAAGAAAGAGGTGGATTTGCCCTGCCAGACCTTAAACTTTATTATGAATCAGCCGCATTTTGCTGGCTGAAAGATTGGCTGCTTCTTGAAAACACGGATATTTTGGACTTAGAAGGTTTTAACAATGTCTTTGGATGGCATGCATACTTATGGTATGATAAGGTTAAAGCACATAAGGCCTTTAAGAACCATATTGTCAGGAAAGCATTGTTTAATGTCTGGGTGAGATAAAAGGATTTGTTGGAAAGTAAAACACCAAGGTGGCTATCACCAATGGAGACTAAGGTTCTGAAAAAAACTAATATGGAGAAAAACTGGCCAAAATATTGCGAAATTTTAGAACAAGATGGAGATAGACTAAAGCTGCAGAGTTTTGACAAATTAAAAACTAAAGTTCGAGACTGGCTTCATTACTATCAAATAAGGGAGGCTTATAATTTAGATAAAAAGATTGGTTTCCAGGAGGAAAAATCAAAATTGGAAACAGAATTGTTAGATCCTAAAACTAAGAATTTATCAAGAATGTATAACTTGCTGTTGAAATGGAATACACAGGATGAAACGGTTAAATCTGCTATGATTAAATGGGCACAAGATTTTGGACATAACATTATGTTTGCTGACTGGGAACAGTTATGGACCACAGGTATGAAATTTACGGCTTGTAATGCCTTAAGAGAAAATATAATGAAAATGATTTACAGGTGGTACTTAACCCCAGTCAAGCTAGCAAAAATCTATCATTTGCCAGATAGTAAATGTTGGAAATGTAAAGAGACGGAGGGTACATTTTTTCACCTTTGCTGGACATGCCCAAGGATTAAGGCTTTCTGGGAAATGATATATAATGAACTGAAAAAGGTATTTAAATATACCTTTCTGAAGAAACCAGAGGCCTTTCTTCTGGGCATGGTCGGCCAATTGGTGCGAAGGGAGGATAGAACTTTCTTTATGTATGCCACAACAGCAGCAAGAATACTTATTGCAAAGTATTGGAAGACACAAGATTTACCCACTCTGGAAGAATGGCAGATGAAGGTGACTATATGGAACTGGCAGAAATGACTGGCAGAATCCGAGACCAGGGAGAAGAGTCGGTGGAAGAAGATTGGAAGAAATTTAAAGACTATTTACAGAAATACTGCAAAATTAATGAATGTTAGAATGATGTCAGAATGAAGTTAAGTGGTTTTAGCAGCAATGTTATAAAGGTGTATGTAAAAATGGATTGTTAACAGGTGAGAATCCAAAATTATAATATATTA